TTCAGCTATATAATATGTTCTACAACGTTGCTACGATTCAATTATATATATATATATATATTTTATGTTTTAAACAATAGGTAGTCTGTTAGCGCTGGTCAGTAGTCAAGGACTTTAAACTACAGTATATGTAGTTTAAAGTCCTTGAGCTTAATCCATGTTGAATACTACAGCGTTTTAAGTGCCGCTCCCGATTTCTGACGGTAAAAATAAATGTCTTATGTGGCTCCACAAATGCTCAATGATCATTCGGCCACTTATCTACGAAGACTAGGTGGAAGAAGTATGGAAAACGTGACAGAGAATTCGTGGGAAACCGGCCGCCTAGCATAATCTTTGCAGCCTTGTCATGAAAAGCAATGTATGAAGACGTAGGATTTCCTTCGCTGTGCCATCAATGTCTCTAGCACCATTTTAGGGCTGGTCAACTGTCATACGAATGCCTCCCCAGACCAAGTACACTGAAAATTGTAAGCCACTGCGAGCCTTTGGGAGGAACAGTAGCGATTTTAAGACCTTCTGGTGCATTACGTGGCGTGCAAAGAGACACAATTATTACAAATTCCTGTTTGGACTTTCATAAATATAGATGCTATTACTTTACAATAACTGAATAACTCGACACATGTAAATTTCGTTTTTATAGTTTTATTTATTAGAAAAACAGGATTATTTTAACTTTTTAAGTGAAATATTTCAAACCGATTAAATATTTTTACATAACACGTGACGTAAAAATATATTCTAACAATACGTAACGCGTTGTTAGAATGTATTGTTTCCTTTTTCTATTGTAGGTAGCTGAACTTTTCCAATTTTTCCAAAAAGTTCCGTGGGTTTTTTTCCTTCCTTTTTACAGATTTTCCGGAAGAATCGCAATTGAGTAAACCAGTAATGTAAGCAAACTATTATACTTGATTTATAAAAAATCAAAATGGAGGAAAGCGCGATACAACTGTCTGTCCGTCCGTACTTCGTGAATTAATTTCAAGAATGGAGCGATATTGATGAAAATCAAGATCATATATGAAAAGATTTTAGATGCCAGAAAGAGGCCCCATTAATTGTACACGAACTTCCGGCCTGTACCGGATGTCACGTTTTACGAATTGAAAATTTTTTATTTAAATTACAGTATAACATTAAAACTTATATTTCATATTTCTTAAAATTTCCTTCTGAATAGAATTTCTTTCATCACATTAAAATTATTCAGTGTGTATTGAATTTATTGTATCTGAAAAATTAATAATTAAATGTATTTTCACTTTTTCAGTCTCAAACTTGGGGTCGTTAGAACGTGAATTATAATCAAGAAGAAAGTCTTAACGTAAAACCATTCAGCATTTCATTTTCATTCTTCTCAGCAATTCAGGAGTACTACGTCACAGTTATAAACGTTGTATACTGTATACCCTTCTTCATGCTCGCTCAGAACAAGAAAGAAGCCATCGACGGGAGGCAGAGTGCTCTCTGATTCCCGCTTTTTTAAAGCCCACTAGGAGCGAAGAAAGAAGCCATCGACGGGAAGGCAGAGAGCTCTCTGATTCCCGCTTTTTTAAAGCCCACTAGGGGCNTTTTTTACTGGAGAATATAACAGAGAATAAACTGCCCAAATACCCTTAAACAAAGGAAAAGTATGCCTTTATGAAGGCATAGAGCCTTTACTACATGAAAATGAAAATTAATGAATACACTGTGTACAGTAATTTACCTGATAAGACAGACCTCAGAAAAATACTTTATGAGAGGTTTTATACTTTTATAAAGCTGTCTATAATGAAAATTAATTAACTAAGGATTTTTTTGCCCTGCCAGGGTGTGGCCGAGTTATCCGGAGTGCCGGGTTATCGAGAGCCGAGTTTTCGAGGTTCTACTGTACTCTGTTTATATAGGGCTCTATTATTTACATTTAAATAGACAATATATGTTGTTGTTATCGAAACCGTGTTGTTGTTTATGTATTGTTTATACTGGCACAATGAAGTGACCGTTTAATCAACACTTGGCAAGTTTTCAATCTTTATTTAGTTAATCGTCAGGGATAAAAATTATTTATATTATCTGAGGATAACGAGAGAACTCCTCGATTAAATATCCAACTAAAAACTCATAAACAAAACGAAAAAGTACGACCAATTGTCGATTTCAAATTTACTGTAATGTACAACTTAGAAAAATATTTAAAAGAAAAACTTAAAAGTTATGATAATTCAATTTATTCCATTAAAAATACAGAAGAATTTTTACATGATTTGAAGAAGGTCCAGATAAAAAATACGTTTAAATTGGCTAGTCTTGATGTAATAGAAATGTACTCATCAATAACATGGCAAATGATTAATAACCAATTAAGAAAAATGAATGTTGAACTTTATGTTATAGATCTACTAGAATTTGCTTACTATTTTGAAATAGACAATAAATATTACACACAGGAAGACGGCATTAGCATGGGGTCGGTTATAGGCTCGAAATTAGCTGAACTGATAATGATTGAAATAGACATAAAAATTAAAGATATTCTTCCTGGTATACATTACTATAGAAGATACGTAGACGATGTTCTAATAGTATACTGTGTATAATGAAGCTGAAGTAAAAATAAGTAAATTAATAAATAATATTTATACAGAAATTCAATTTACTATCGAAAAAGAAACAATAACTGATAATAGCATAAGGTACCTTGACGTAGTTATTACTAGGAAAGAAAACAAATTAATGTTTGAACCTTTTAAAAAACAATGTTCGATCAACAAAACATTGAATTATCATTCTAATATTCCTCTGCATATAAAAAAGAACATTTTTTATATGGAATATAAAAATATATTCAATAGAACTGGTGAACAGGGAAAGAATGGAAAATATATAAATGACTTACACAGAAAATTTAGTTTAAACGGATACCCTACCAGATTAATTAATGATTGGCAACAAAAAAATAGATAATAGTATTGCTTTCCCTGTTAAAAAAGATGAAGAAAAGCAAAAAATTAAATACTTAAGTTTTCCATACATAAAACATATGTATGAAAAAAATTAATAAGGAACTCCAAAAAAACAATATAAAGCTTGCACCAAACTATAAAAATGTAATATCCAGATTAAATGCTAAACAACGTCCAAAAAAGCAAATAGAAAATAAAAACGAAATAAAAAATGTTGTATATAAAATACCCTGCACTTGTAAGATCAATAGTTCTGATTTCTGCTCATTTAAATTATTAAACATTGCTCGTTTAAATGCTAAACAGTGCTAAACAGAGAGACAAAAAGGCCGCCGCTGCCTTTTTGTCTCGCTGAGCACTTTTAAGGCTAATATGTCCTTTAACTATTATGGTAATTCTATCTTTATTGCCTTATGTAGCATACAGAATACTTTAAAAAATTACTTTGGACAAAGAACGATTTGAAGCGAACGATTGACATATTTAGGGTGACCAGATATTGACATAGTCAAAGTAGGACATTTGAAGTTTTATAATGCTTCCCAGTAGAACATTTGATAACCCAGCTTAAAAACAATAAAAATCGGTAGTAAAAAAAGCACAAAACACTAAAAATTGATAAGTAAGTAATTTTAAATTGATATACTACTGTTGTTGTTTTAAATACTACTCTTTGTTGCAATTGTACCCATTATTTAATATAAAAATATGAAAAAAAAGTTTATTATTAATGACTACCTATTGGCCCAGAAGTAGTTATCTGTGAAAGTAGGACGTAGGACAAAAGGTTTAATTGTAGGACATGTCCTCCCACAGTACAATGGGTGGTCATCCTAGACCTATTGCACTGAAAAAGTTTCACTGTAGGATAGCCGCCATCTTGTAAACATGAATAACTTTTAGTAGAAAAAATAGTTTAAAATAAGAACAAAAAGGAAATTGAATTAATGAATAATTTTTATTGTAAGTTTATATTTGAAAGGAAATTTTTCACGCTTTCTATGACGTTTTGAAACAAAGTGAAAGCAGAGATAAAATAGAAATCATCAATGGTCTGCAGGAATCGCTATCTCAATGTTAAAAAAATTTTGACAAGAGACGTTTTAAAAATAAACTTGTCAAATATTGAAAATCGAGATTCAAAGCGGTTTCATATATAATACGTGTATAGAAAACATTAAAATCACTCTTAACGAGTTTTTTTTGTACGAAAAGGTATAACAAATAACTTTAATATTTTAATTAAATAGTCACGTTCTAGTTAAGATTCTGATTTATATTATTTAAAAATCAGCATCTTAACTAGAACACGAAGAAATAAATTAATTGAGTACGCATTTCATGACGTATCCAAAATTTTCAAAAATTCACGAATTCTTAATACAACTGATTAACTCCTTAAGCCTCGAGCAATTTTTGATATTAATGTAATTAAACATAAAAAATACTTAAAACTGAAAAAAAAACGAAAGAAATACGTTAATTTTGAAAGTTTCAAATTTTATTTTCCTTTGTCTCGCCTTTCTGTGAAATTTGACACTGACGACTCATTGTTTACACAGCTGGATGACCTTGAGAACAGCTGGTGTCGTATTTCCCGGGACATTCTCATAGACGTCTCGGGAGTTGAAAGGTTTAAAGCAATGCCGTAACTAGGCAGGTGCAACAGGTGCACCCGCACAGGGCCCACTTGGAAGAGGGGCTCAAAATGCATGTATTTGTTTTATTACTTTCCCAAACCTAATTAATTAAGGGGCCTAAATGCAAATTCCTGCACAGGGCACAGGAATGGCTAGTTACGGCACTGGTAATTGGTTAGCTTCTAACTCTTTATCCTTGGTTGAGAATACAACTTTAAATGAACAAAAATTATTGTGACATCGTCACAATGCTGGGCTGCAACTTTTAATCATATTTTTAATTTAATTCAAAATATGTGCCCCCGATCTGAAATTAGTAGGGTCTTACCCCTATACATCATACTTTTCCCGATAACAACAGAGTCATTCCGGTCATCTATCTAACTCCGTTCTGGGAAAAATTCTTTGAATTGACTTTTGGTCCAAACCGGAAGTTCGTATACAGTTAATCGGGGCCTCCTGTCTCTAAGCTTTCCATACCTGGTCTCGACATTCATCTATTTAACACCGTTCTCGAGATTAAAGAAGGACAGGTAGGCAGACAACAATGGGAATTTATAGGTCTAATTTTTTTTCAAATTGCAGCCCAATAACTTAATCACACAGAGACAATAGTTTGCTACAACTGATTACATTTTTACAGATTATTTAAAATAAAGCTAATTAATATTTTGATACAACTACGCGTAATCGTGTTCAATTGAACTTGTGATGCTTCCGCGAATTATTTTCCTCCAGGTTTTTCTTCTAATAGTTTAAAAATTTCATTCCTAAATTCGGAGTAAAATCTATAACTAAAGATGAAATAACGGAAAATGTACACGTATGTCGGAACAACTAAACATTCAACTTAGAGAACTTACATGAACGTCATTTCACGTGACCAAATCGTCATCACTCCGCCATATTTGTTCCGTGTTGTTCGTGAGTATATAGTTGTGTTTGCATCTGAACGTCTATCGAGTTTAGACGATAGCAAAACATTCTGTTATGTATAACAGAGGNCTAAACTTTAGAACAATGAATGAAATTTGATATCAAACTCCCATTAAAAAACTATTAAAAAGCAATTAAGCGTGAAGCGTGCGTCATTAAAGTTAAATTAAAATCGCGATAAATTTTTTTCGCGCGGGAAAAAAATTTTGAGAAAATTTGGAGACTTAAAAAACATTCCAAAAATTCAAAAAAAAAAATTTTCAAAAATGGCCTTAAGGACCGCATTTTATGTAACGCTATGTAACTTGCCCGAGATATCTCGGAATACTATTAATTTGTGATACATAATATATTATTTTTTCTGCCATAATAACTAACTTTTTTTATACCCCTAAACAACCTATCGCGTACCCTGGGTTGGGAATTGCTGCTCTAGAGGGTACACAGAAAACTATGTAAGCATGCCTCTTGGTACAAGTTTCAACAAGTCTTTGCCAGTTGACTTGTGAAATTCCATTAGTGTGCCAGCAGCAGGTGCTAAATAATTCACATTTTCTGCAAACTTGTTTCCGATTATGCCGGAAAGCATGGAGTTTTCAATTCAGGAGCAACGTGCTGTCATCAAATTTTTGTTCACTCATGGTGAAAAAGCAACTGATATTCACAAGCAGTTAATGGATTCTGTAGGAAGTTTGCTCTTTCTGACTGCACAGTTTGCAAGTGGGTTTGAGAATTTGCAAGTGGAAGAAACATCAAAGATGACACACACTCTGGTCACCTTGCCACTGCAACTTCTGAAACTGACATGATTACTAGTTAGTATGCAAAAGACATGCTGGACAAACATTTGCTATCTGATATTAGTGAATGGCATATTAATTTTGCCAGCACAATCTATGTGTTGCACTGTGACAATGCTCTGCTGCACAGAGCTCAAGTTGTCCAATCTTTTCTGATAGAAAAGATTATCAAAGTCTTGCTGCATCCTCCATATTCACCAGATTTGGCTCTGAATGACTTCTGGCTGTTTGCAAACTTGAAGGATTCACTCCATGATTTGTATTATTCATCAAGATCTGTTCTTGGGAGTGCAGTTTACCAATAGTTCTGAAGGACTCCAAAAAACAAATTCACATAGTGCTTTGACAAATGGTTAAAGAGATGCCAAGTGTATCTTGACAGAAATTGAGATTATGTTGAAAAATGACATAAAAAATTTTCTTCTGAACTGACTGATTTTGAAATTATAGCTAAACAGTATGTAATTCTGGTATACACCTTGTATCTTGATTTTAAATATGTCAATCTTTCAATGTGATCTTTTAAATATGTCACAGAAATCTTTAATCTAAATTTTCATAAATAAAATTACATTTTTATTTTTAGAGTTTTAAAAGTCTTTAAATTGTGACAAAATTTAAAATAAATTGAACATGTAATAATTTTACCAATTATTATAAAATAAAATTAAGATTGTAAAAGATATTAACATTCAAAACATTGTTACTAATTCTTCAAATTTTTCTGCTTCACTTTTTATAAATTCTTCTTTATCTCTATTTGCAACCTAAAACAATAAATACATTTTTATTAAAATATTGATAGTTAATATTAAGTTTTTAATATATAAAACTTTTTTTACTAATATAAAACATTTTATTTTCAGTTTAAAATAAATTTGATAAGTTATAAAATACAAACAGAAAATGTAACTTATTATCATTTTTAATTATTATATAGGTTGGAACTTTTTACTGAGAAGTTGACTAATAATGCTATATCACAGAAAAAGTTATACCACATCTGTCTCACATTTTCTGTGGTCCAGCACTTGACAAAATTTCTGTTAGCATTTTATAATAGTCCATCTCCTCACCAGTTGCGAGCAAAAGCAGTTAAGATGTCAACCTACTGCTCTGGAAGACTTGAGATCAAATCTTGACAGATCAAAAAATCCCAGAAATTTTTCAGATTGTAATCTGTCCTTGATGTCAAGCCCCATCCTTCATTATCTGGCCATACTATTGTTGCTTTTACAAGACCCACTTGAAAAATGGCCCTCTTAGTGCCCATAAGGCACAAAGAGTAAAACATAAAGTCCACCTCCCACTTGTTTACTCTATCCCTTCTTTCCTATCTGGAACTATCTGGCATTCCTTATTGTTGCTTACTTCATTAAATTAATTACAGTGGCTAGTTTAAGTTTATAATGAATTTCTACACTTCAAATAAATAGTTTCACCAAAACCTAATTTTGCAGAGCTTAAAATTCTTTTATTTTTACAAACGTTTTGGGAGTGGTGTCCGTTTCTCCTCATGGTACCCCTGCACTAGCAGGGTGAGCTGAATGCAAACTGCCTCCCAGATGACAAGCCCTATGACAGACCAGCCGGACGGTGTATTAAATAACCCATTGTTAACCCCCCATGGAACAGAATCTGAATCAACAGGATATAGGAAATGCTAGTCAACATGGCTGGGTATGGCCCATCCCAGCCGAAAAATTTGCAAGTGCTCCAGACACAGAGACAGCATCTGGATGCAAGCAAGAAAGTCCAGAAAATCCAAAAACAACAATGTAAAATACAAAGTGGAAAAAATATCAAACAGATGTGAGTGGTGACACTCAATGTTGGTACAATGAGTGCAAGATGTGAGTTTGTTGTGGCAGCCCTGTGGAGGCAATGCATTGAAATCTGAGCACAACAGGAGACCAGATGGAGCAAGGAGAAGGCCTACAACATGGAGCAAGAGTAGAGGGAACATGGCTACAAGTTGATCAATGGAGTAGATCAACTTGTTTTTGCATCAACTACAGCATTGCGAATTCATTCTGAGATGATGATGCCAATGCCGCTGTAGGTACAAGGGCTGCCACCCTTGTACCTACAGTGGCATTGGCATCACCATCTCAGAATGAATTCGCAATGCTGTCCAGTAGGTTCACCAATACAATGACAGTCTTATGAAGATTGTTGTCGTGATACCACACTGGACTCCCAAGTCTTTACCTCCTATGCCCCACAGACTGGGCAACCGGAGATGAAGAAGGATGAGTTCTGGCAGTTGCTCAACAATCAGGTGCAAGACATGCCGCAGATTATGTCATTGTTGGTGGTGACTTCCACAGCCACGTTGGTGAGACTTGAGGGAAGACAATGTCACGGTGGCAAAGGCTTCTGTTGACACTGATAATAGTGAATGCATACTTGACTTTGCTGACTCCCATAATCTTGTTCTCACCAACACCTGGTTCAAGAAACAATTGTTGCAATGGCTCAATTTCTACAGTGAAGACACAATGTTGCAGATCAACTATGTCTTAGTTCAACAACGCAACCTCAACACTGTCATCAACATGAAGGCTGCACCATACAAGACAGTGTTAATGCAACATTGCCTGTCATTGCAATGCTTCGCATCAATCCTCCACTACAGAAATTTAAACTTGAACTGCAGTTCATCGATACGCACAGCTTACCTATCATCTTTCAATACACTCATCCAATCATCCTGTACCTCCATTTGAAGTGGTTTTGTCCAACCATATTTAAAGAGACTTTTATCAAATTTTAAAAAGCAACTTGGATGGTGCAGAAGTTTTTATCATAAAATTAATTGTTATTTTTACATATTTCCAGGTAACTATTTTATATATTATTTTACATTTTACTTATTTTATTTTACTACTGTTTTTTTTTGTATGTTGTATTTTTTAATTTTTTGTCTTTTAAATAATTTTCTTTCTCACACCATCCAAGCTTTAAGCTACTACAGAATCCTATTTCATTCATTAAATGTTTTAAATATATATCTATTTGTTTATATTCTTATTATTGTAATATTAATTTCTTGTATTTGTATTATTGTAAAATTCTATCTTAATTGCATCTAAATGACTCCTTCCATTAATTGCCTTAAAATTTTTCTACAAAATATAATATCCATTAAAAACAAATGTCTATACTTACCTACAATACTAAATGAATTTTATAATTTGTACATCTTTACCAAAAGTTGGTTAAGTTCCATTCTTTTTTTCTATTGTATATTTCCATGCTGTTGGAAGTGCATTAGCATCCCTAGCATTTAGGCAATGGTTTTCCATTTTACTTTTATACATTTCTACCTTTTCCATCTCCAATGTCATACAAACAAAAGAAAGGTATCCCAATGGGAAGTCCTATGTCAGGACTCCTGTGCAAACTAGTGCTATGTAAGCTGGAAAAGACATCCTCAAAGATTTTGTTGAGGACATTATAATCTACAAACAATATGTCAATGATGTATTTATAATTTGGAAAAATAACTGACGAATTCAAGAATTTTTACTTGCAATCAATAATAATGGTCATGGTTTAAAACTAAAACTAGATCAAAAAAGCTATACTCATCTCCATTTTTTGGACATTGATATAAGATTTAAATATACACATGGATGTGTATTTAAAACCCATGCATGCTCCTCTCTACATATCATCTTGATCCAACGACCTGTATAAATATAAATTATCAGCATTTAAAGCACTCATCAGCAGAGCATTTTTATATTGTACCAACTTGCAGAACCATCTCAAGGAGATTAATAGAATTAAAAGTGTTGCAACAACTTTGGATTACAAAACTGCCACAATTGAAGGGCTGATCAAAGGTTACAGAGAAAATAAAAGCAAAAAAGATACTAACTCAGAAGAAATTAACAACTTCACATACAATAGATAGGCATTTAGGAAGTGTGGTGAATGAGTTAGTTAATTATAAAAACTCGAGAATGGTCTATAAAAGATAGCACCCAATATCTATAGCTTACTATGGAATGATAAAGACAGCGTAAAAAAGAAGAGAAAGCTGGGGTATACGAGAGGAAGCAAAAAAAAAAAACCGAACTGAGAGCGTGCTGCTATTCGTAGACATAGTAGAGAGTCCTCCCATTACATGGGGTTAGTAGAGACCTTCACGAAACAGCTGTCCAAATGGCGTCAGTTTGTAGGTTTATGTTTGAGCATAGTGTTGTTTCTCTTACTGTTATTTTGTTCCACCTGCGAAGTTCTGGACGTCCTTCAACATCTCGAAACAATGAAAACGTTGAAAAAATCTGCCAAGAAAGTGTTAAGACATCTGCGAGAGGATATGCGAAGGAAACGCCCAGAACTTTGGTGATCAGGTGACTGGTTTCTTCATCACGACAATGCCCCTGTGCACACAGCCTTACGAGTGACCCACTATTTGGCCTCTTGGGGATGGCCCGTCATTCCCCACCCTCCGTATTCACCAGACCTAGCCCCGTGCAACTTTTTTCTGTTTCTGAGAATGAAGAAAAATCTAAAAGAAAAGTGTTTTGATGATGTGCAGGCAGTAAAAACAGCTTCACTAAGGACACTGGATGATATCATGGTTGAAGAGTTCCAGAGATGCTTCAAACAGTGGGGAAAAAGACTTTCAGAAGTGCATTGCATCTAATGGAGAGCACTTTGAAGGTGACTGAAGAAATTTTGTAAAAAAGTTAATAAATAAAGATTTTATACAAAAAATCCAGTTATTTTTGGGTCCCCCATGTATAAAATACCATTTGAAAATCAACAGTTAGGAATCAAAAAAAATTATGTGCATGTGATTAGAAGAAACCTGGCAGCACGTCTGTGAGAACATAGATATAACATTGACAAAGGACACAACAACACAATATTAGCGATTATGACACAGACTGAAGGAGTGGTTGTAAAATGGAAAGAGGAAAGTCATTAAAAAAGTGACTCTTCATCCATGGCACTGGAGATGGAAAAGGTGGAAATTTATAAAAGTAAAATGAAGAATTGTTGCCTAAATGCTAGGGATGCTAATGTGCTTCCAACAACATGAAAATATATAATATAAAAAAATATAAGATTTAAAAATCCTTAAATCATGTTTCTTTCTAGTTTGCTTTGTTTACTATGTTTTATTTGTTTATTTTATTTATTTAATATATACATTTCTTTCAATTTATTTTAAAATTAAAGTATTTTTTGAATTTTAAAAGTGTAAAATATTTGAAAATGATACGTTCCATTTTGAAACATTTATAATATTAAACCTGATGATGGCCTATATTAAATAAGTTGAAAACATTTGTAAAAATAAAAGAATTTTAAGCTCAGTAAAATTAGCTGTTGGTGAAACTGAAATGAATTATTTGCTGAGAAAGCAGTGGATAGATAATGAATAGTTTCTTTCATTTATGAATTGTTACAAAATAGTAATCAAAAATATTTGTTGGAAATGCAGGATTATTAAAAATTTGAAATAATAGACTAGTTAATTAATCCAAATATTTTTTACAGCACAAATTATTATAATAAATATATTGACCAATTATTTTTAGTTACTACTGCTAAGGATAGCAAAATGAATTTAAAACATGGGCTACAAATTAGATATATCTGATATAAAATACCAAATTTGTAACCTATGTTTTATGATCTTTCTGCTCAAAGTCATTTTTTTACAGAAAGATTTGGAAAATTTGATTTACTGTATATATGTTCAAAAGAACAGAAGAAACTAATCTTTTGCCAAGAGTTTGCTATTCATACAGAAGTTTTTTCTGACACTAAATTAATGGTTTTGTGTAATTATTCCTCCCTGAGAGAAGTCTATAATGATTTTAAAAACATTACAGTTTTGTTAATAACTAAATTATATCATTTTTTGTTAATTCATTAAAGAATTAACAGAAGTGCAATAATAAAAAAAAACATTAACAAATAACTCAATTTTTGTTAGATCAATTTATGAAATATTGTAAGGATACTATGCAAACCTACTGCAACAAGAAAAATCCCCTAATGCACTAATAAAAATTGATTTGAATTAATTTTAAATTATATTAAATAATTATTGTAAATATTTGTTAAAGTTGTTACAATTTTCAGTTTGTTCACAATTTTATCATCAAATTTTGTTAGCTATGGAATTATATTATATTTTTTATTATGTTCTATTTAAATATTTAAATTTTATAATTTATTTTAATATTGTCTAAAATATAATCAAATAAAAAATTTTAAAACTATTACTTACATTCAAATTTTTTCTTAAGTTGGGAGATAATTTAAAACTTAAAACATTACCCCTATTAAATAAAATATTTTTTCATTATTAAAATTTTTATATTTATTCTTATATATATNACATAGTGCAAGAAAAGAAATTGGAACTTTAAACATATATAAAGATTACAAATGAAAGCATAATCATTTGTGGAAATTGAAAAATTAACAATGTTCTGATGGAGGAAGTTAAGGGATGAAGTGAATAATGTGTTGACTCTCTTGTTCAGCTATATTTATTTGAATATGGTAGGATAGACTATTATATAGCTCTGCAAAGCTTCCTGAGAGATACTGTGATATGCATCATGGATTTGTTGCTTCAACTGATAGTATGCTTGAAAGAATTGTAAAAAAAAAAAAAATATATATAACAAATAAACATTTGTATTATATTTTTCTAACATATGTATCAAAAAGATCATGTTTATGTTATTTCTGTTTGTTACTTTCTCCTCACTGTTTAATCTACCATTTTTACAGGGCTGTGGAGTCACAGTTGGAATTGTGGAGTTTTGGTGTTTTAGCCAGAATCGGAGTTGTCAAAAAATCCGCCGACTCTGATTCCTTTTTATACTCTATTTGTTGGGTTATCTAATTCTGTCTCCTTTTTACTTACCAACTTATTATGTATTTAAAACAGAAAAGTATTGGAATCGTGTCAAATTTGACCCTCCAAGTTTTTTTTGCAAATCTACACGTTTGGAGATCTCCCGAACCCCCAAAAAAAGTCAATAAAGGAAAAAAATTCATGAGCGTGTGTGTGTTGGCATCTAATTTGTTTAATTTCTTTATTTTCTGTTCTGAGATATTAAACAATATCTCAGAATGGATAAAGTTTAAGAAATGAAATGTGTGCGGCACTGTAGCTTGCGTATAAAGGGGCATTAATACTATTAAATTTTGGTTCTTAATTAAAGGTCGACAGGGTGAAGACATAAAAGTGGTCATATGTCATATCTCTTAATGAATATTTTACTTGTTATTAGCGTTAAAAATTTAAAAAAAATAAAATAAAACTCGTCTCTACCATCAAAGAAAGCTTTTTTGCCATTTTATAATAGTACAGTAAAACCTGTTAAGATATTCTTGCCTAAGATGTTAGAATGTATATGGGGATATGATTTAGTTCAACCACTTTGATGTTTAATAATCTACGCCTGTGTTAAACCATCTGACTCCAATTCTGACCACTCTGACCACAGAAATTATTAGGCTTCAAACAAGGCAAACAAAATCATGCCCCCCCCACACAGTCTAACATCCACACATATAGAAAAAAACCTTGAATCTTTTGCATATCTTGAAATTTCAAGGTGTCCCGAGTCCAAAAATATAAAAATTTGGGAGGGGTCATTTTTTGACCAAGCGCTCCACGTTTCCTCTGTTATATATAACAGCCAGAAAAGTAAAAATTATTGAATACATATTTATATGTTACTTAGAGAAGTCTTTTAGCTTTGGAATAAAAAGTTTATATGCTGTATCTTTATTAGAACTCTATTTATTGAATCTTTTATTCTGAGGTCATGTGATGACATCAGAATTTCCGGGTCTCTTTTGGTAACAAGTCTGCCTCGAGTCAGAGTCAGATGGTAAGGAAAAGACAGAGTTGATAGATTTTTACGCAACTCCACAGCCCAGCATTTTTACACTAGGACATATACATTTTACAACATAGCAAACTTACATAGCATTCTCATGACCTTTTTGTATATAAACATCTCAATAACCAAATGTATTATTAATCATCCAATTATCAGCCAAATTAATTGGGCAATATTATGTTAAAATTAATAATTAGAAATTACATGATTAGAAATTGAAGCGTAATGTTGCCTAGTTAATTTGGCTAATGGTTGGATGATATCTTTTTGTGTTGTAAATTTTTCCTACATTATATTTTGAAATCATTTTTATAAAAAATAAAAAAATTCAAGAAAATGTTTAATGCAAAAGTTTTTAATTAAATATTTCACTTCAATGTAAAAATAATTCTATACCTGAATCCAGTTTAAGTTCATTTTCATCACAAATACAATTTCATGTTAAGAATAAAGAAATCACATGCATTTATAAAAATGATACTATTGATGTTGCTGAAATTATGATAAATACTTTGTAATAAAATAATAAGGGTTATTATTTGAGAACAATTCTAGCTTCTTCAAACTTAAAATATTAAAATTTGATTGTTTCAAAAAAAATTTTAAAAATCTATGTTTGATTATTCTAAACCTTTATTATTTTTAAATCTGAAGTAATTTTAACTGTTATCAAGAAAAAATATTTATAACCTTATTAAAATATTTATTAAAATTTTGAGAAAGAATACAAAATAATTTTGATAAGTAATGTTTATTTAAGTGGTACTGAGGTAGCTCAGATAATATTGCATAATGCAAGATCCATAATGCAAGATGTTATGAATTTGTTTTATTCATAGAACCAGTTATGTGAACAATGAACAAAACATTACAAAACTTAATTAATGAAAAGTCAGCACTATAAAAAGTCATAAGACTGATCTATATATATAACCCATTGAACGCGTGTCCGTCCGTCCGCATAATGGTATGCCAAAAACGGGCACTAGAGGCGCTCCTATCATGTGTCATATTTCAAGCATTTAAATTAACAATTTAATTATTATTTAAATTAACAATATAAATTATTATTATTCATTTGGCCAATAAATTCTGCACATTGTTTTATTCAGCGCACGTGTTCAATTATTAAGCCTCTGTCAGAGCACTTAAGGTGCGCTTTCAGTGCACTAGCAGCACCTCTTGACCACGCTAAAAATAGTGCTTACAAGATGGACGCCTCCATGAAAAAGTATCTTTTTCATCTACCAACTAATAATCAGTGTTTTGCTGTTTTAAATGAGCAGATTTTTAATTGTGACATACGAAAATGGCTTTTAAAGATTTCATTCGAATATTGTGGTACGATATCGTAAACGATTTTTTCACACTTTCTTCGTTGTTGGGAATCAGTCATCACCAATGCCATAAATAAATCATCATTTCCTCGTTTTCTTATTAACAACATCAAACTTAATGGCTTTTCTTCTAATAATATTGAACAAACGCGTGTAAATATAGCAGAAAGAAAATTATTGTTTATATCAGCCATTTTGAGATAGCTCTCTCTCCAGCAAAAGTGTTTTCAACCGTCAGCAGCAAAAACGTCATTTTTGACAGCAACTGCTCAGCGCACTGCTGAATAAAAGAATGTGCGGATTATTATTTGATAAGTATAACAATATAAATAATTCAGTATATCTGTAATAGAAATTTATTATTGTCATGGAATGCCTGTAATGTGCACTAGGAGGCAAATAACAAAAAAATGGATAGGTTTGAACGACTACGATAAGACGATAAGGTTTGAAATAGTTTTGAAAATTATATAGGTAATATTTTAATAATAGAAACCATATATTAAGTGCATCAAATGTGCCTCATATGAATTTGTAATGCTGCTAGAATGCCCACTAGGGGGCATCCTGGGCTACTAGTGGTTCCCTAAAAGATTGTCACCAGTGTCACCAACCTATTTTTATTTAATTGAAAAACTTCTGTTACAAAATCATTATGACATAATATGATCACAATATATTAAACATATAAACATTGTGTTTATAAATAACTTCACTCATTGTATTTCAGCACTTTTCACATAATGGATATTTTATGGCATTACTTTGCATAGATATGGATTATTAAATTTATTATTCTGATGAGTTTCTGGTATGATCAAAAGAATAATGACCGTAATGTTTGATTTATCACCATATTCTATTCTAATAGTTACAAAAAGAGTGCCTTTATTTCACTCTTCCTTGTGGCTACATGATATGCAAAGTAAGAAATTTTTATCTCTCATTTAACATGATTCATATAATATAAATTTACTCTTATCATTCATAACTTTATCTGGAAGGTATTATTTTCTCCGAAAGCTATTTTATCAATTGTGATGATTGTAAACAATTTCTTGAATTAGAAATTTTTTGAGAAATATTAAAACACAAATAAGCAAATAATACTAAAAGAAAATATTTTTTAAAGACTTAAATATAATATAAAGAAGTACCTGTTATCTCCAACAATTATTATTGGATGCATACTATTAAATGCAATGTGATTTGCATTTGTTTTCTTTCCAGATGTCACAACTTGTTGACAAATATAGCTTTCTTTATTTACAGTAAGATCATACACATAAACCTAAAATATATTTAAAAATTTAAGATGTTAGTGTTATTATTATATTGAAAAAATAATGCAACAAGAAAAAAATAAACTGAGAAACAAAATGATGGAAAAACTTCTGATAAAAGAGGACATAAAGAGAAAAAAGTTCATAAAATACAGCCTTATCCCATTATGTAACTATTATGTTCCATAACCTCAACCAATTTCCCTAAATAATACTAAAATACTAAAAAAAAACCTATTTTACTTATAAATTCATGTTTTTAGCATGATATTAAACATTACAAATGTCAATTTGCAAGATAAAAAAATAAAATTTTTATTTACAGTTATATTTAGTTACTTATATTATTTTTTCCCTTTAGTCTCAATTACTTTGAATTTTGGTATTGAGTTATGTTAAACATAAACTGCAAACTCAATGTCTTCCAACTAAAACATGAAAATCCAAAAGCTGTTTTTTTTAATATAAGCTGATCCCCTAATCCCCTAATAATATATTTTATTAGGGGGTCAGCTACCATTGTCTTTGTGACATCATTGTATTTTTTGTCAATAAATAAAAAAAAAAAACAATATTTGTATTTGTGAATATTTGTAAAAAGTTAAACAAGCCAAAAGAGCAACTTTTGGCTTGTTTAAAATGGCAAAAAAGAACAAATGCCAACAAGGAAGTTAACAAGATGTTATCAACTTCTAACTTCCCTTCAACTATGATACATCTTCCTTTGATTACAACTCATTCAAGGAATTGTCATTTAAATTGTTGGATTGGACAATGGATAGGATAACCAAATTTGATTTTCTTGGATAAAAAAGATACAGTACATGTAATCTAATTTTTACCTCTATAACTTAACACTAGGGTCAGATACATCATTGTTCTTCATTGGAATACTTGATAATAGCATCAATTCCACATGTTAACAATGAATATAATCCTTTTTTTAAGGTGCCACTGCAAAACACCCTGACACAAATGTCACTAACTTAAAAGTAGGCACTGAATAACCAACTTTACTTTTAATTAAAATCTAGCAACATATAGAATTAGTCACTATTCATATGTAATTAATACGTATGTGAATTTGCATAAATAATACCTTTACAAAAATTCCACTATTTAGACTAGCATCATTGCTATGCTATAAAACTTGTCATTTTTGGTAACTTGTCACCTTAGTTCATATTAAATTAAGTTTGCAAGACTCTACTATAATTATACATATAGTAAGTTCCTAATATATTTATAAAATATTTGACTTGTGTAGATTCATAGACACACTGTTGCAATACTTAGATTTATAACAATGCCATCTGTTAACCATCACTTTGAACACACATAATAAATGACAAAAGATAATTAAAGCTATATAATTTTTATTTATGAAAAAATTTTATTTTGAAATTAATAAAACAGATGATTGATTGTAATTAAACTACTACTATTCAACACTGTCTTGAGAGATATTTAGCAGACCAAAAGCAACAAATGACATTTCCAGACATATGGAAGACATTTCTGTAGAAAAAATTAGTACCAAAACACACTAGAGTTTTGGTACTAATAAACATTAGAAAAAGTCAAAGATTATGTGTATGAAAAGGGAAAATCCAATTTGGAAAGACAGAAATCCTTGAGTAAAAAAATGCTTTGAAAAACACTGACTTTTTATATAATCAATTTTATTATTATATTTTTCTTCTTCCAATGAATCAGTGCTCTCAATGCTTGCTGTTTTGTAAAGTCAAAGTGCTTTTTACAAAACAGCAAGCATTGAGATTGCTGATTCGTTGGAAGAAGAAAAATATAATAATAGAATTGATTATATAAAAAGTCAAAGTGGGAAACTAATGGGATACTTTTGGCACTGCAAACAATAAATATCTTCAGAATGTAAAAATACAGAAGAAACTAAGTCATTTTCGTTCTTATCATGTCCAATCACCAGGAACAAAAACAGATTTTTAAAAGTTTTTGGCTTATCATCAGTGAACGTTTTTAACTGTTTTACATAATTTTGCGGAGGCATAGGCTCTAATAAAAAAACCATCTCTGTGAAGGAAAACTGTTTTATTCCTGGTGATTGGACATGACAGAAGAATGAAGACAATTTTGTTTCTTCTATATTTTTATAGTGCGAAATATACCATCTGCCTTTTTAATTAAAAACAAATATCTTATTTGTACAAGACACTCTTGCTACACCTTAATGATGAAAGGGATACTTTCCAATATTGTCCTCATTCTGAAAGTGTAAAATCTGAAGGCAATAAACAATGTGTTCAATGGTCAAACATAATAATCTTTTGTAATGCTTCTCACATGCAATGTTATAGCCTTTCAAGAATGCCAAATTTGCAATACGTTCTTGATGAACCATACTTTTTAAGTGTTCCTACAAATTTAACTGCAAGTGTTCCTACAAATTAAATTTTTTGATGCTTTCAGCACCAAAATTGTCAAAGTGACAAGTTTTGGTACAAATTTTTTCTCAAAAATGTCTTCTACATGTCCTGAAATGCCACCATATCAAATTTGGTTGCATTTGGATTGCTAAATATCTCTCCAAACAATATTGAATATGAATACTTTAATTATAATCACCATCCCAAGAACCTTATGTATTAATTATTGTCCAACCATCAGCCAAATTAATTGGACAGAATTATGCTACAAATATTAATTCTATCCAATTAATTTGGCTGATGGTTGAACAATTATTATAATCAGCAATATATGTTAAAAATACATCACATTTAAGCATCATTTGACTTACGCAAAACCTTCAGAACAAATTAACCATATATGTTGAAGTCTTTTTGTAATTTGTTATATATTAATATATAAATGTATATCAAATATATATAAATTTGGAAGTAATAATAGAATACCTTTTTATCTGTAATAGCTGCAAAAATTGTTGATGAGTATGGAGCCCATGAAACATCGTCTACTTTATGTTTCATATGAAATTCAAACAATGGTTCTCTAAAATAATAAGAATGTTTAATGAAATTAAAACATATAAATAAATATATAATTTCAAGTGAAAACTACTTCAATTATTATATAATTCAACTATATAATTTAATGCATTCAAAGTATTCAAAAAGATTGCATAATTTATAAAATCTTTAGTTTTTAATTAAATCAACAATTTTAGATTACTTTTTTAAAACAAATAATTTTCTTTTTTAAAAGTTTTTTAAATTTTATACTTTATGTTTTCTCCAAGTATGAGAAAATATAATAATTCATAGTATTTATAGATAGGTCGCAAAGTCTGAAACATTGATTCAGCATCAAATAATAAAATATGAATAGACATTATTTCATTTGAATTTCCTTAGTAAGATTAGGGTAAAAAGTATTGAGTTTAGTAAAATCATACATTAATTAAACAAAACAAACAAAAAAATCATTATACAGTGTAAAATTTTATTTTGTAAAATACAGTAATAAGTCTAATGGATCTCTCATTAAGTGTCATTTCATGATATGAAGTAATATTTACTGTTTGTGAGGTCCTGCAAATGCTTAAACATTCACTTGAACATCTCTATAACTTTAGAAAAAAAAAGGTAAAATTTTATTGAAATGTTTACTTCCCATCCAATTTATGGAAAACTTCAAACTGTACATTGAATACCTTGTTAGACTAAATATTGCTTTTTGGAGATTAGGAAAACTGGTTAGACTTAGTAACTGGTTATGTGATGAAGGAATCAAAATTACACAAAAGACAACACTGATTTGACTCATGAAAGGTCAGCACAAAAAAGGGGAGAGTAAAACAAGGTCACTGTCACCAATGGTTCCGAGAGATCAACAGCGCCACCAACCTTTTATTACACAACAGAAAAAGATTTACAAACATCACTGCAACACAATGTAATGTACTGTACAGTACATATCAATATTATACAATATTTAACAATTGTTAATTCCAACATAACTGTCAAGGAAAAGAGGTATACACAGCCTGATTTAAAACAATGAGGATCCTAAGATTGATAAACATATCTGGTTGTGATGAAATTTGGTGTTGAATTAATTGTTGATGCCAATCTCTTCCCACAACCTGAGAAAATTTCTAATTTCACCTGGAAACAAGTAAGGAACCAATCAAGTTATGAGGACAAAGATTTGAAACCAATTGAAATGTTATATTGAGGAACCCAATCTATTGTGAGATATGCGCGAATACCGGAGACAAAGAAACACAACTTTTATGATATGAAATTCTTTAATTCGCGCACAGAATACCGGAAATGTGGTTCGGATGCCAGCTACAATCTCTACCCTTGAACATTTAATTAATTTCTGTAACAAAAAACTTTACGGACCAGTTATATAACGCGACAATCTCGTAGTTTAATAACTATTCTACTTATATACTTTACAATTATACCTTATAACTAAGCTTACGGCTAATTATTATATTCTAAAGATGAAAAATTAGGTCTAAGGTAAGATATGAATTGAAATATAAAGATGAGAGAAAAAGGAAGTCGGGTACCCAATGATTTCGGTGTGCTTCACGGGGGATTGTAGTAAGTGGGGGTGAGCCTCTTGATCCACGGCGAAAGATAATTCCTTCCCTGTGGAAGTTTTCTTGGTCTTCACTATACACTTTAAAACGCACGAAAACCTCCTTTTCAGTTTTCGATAGCTTCCGTATTCTTTTCTCCTCGAAAAGTCCGTTTAGTCTCCACTCGGTTCAACAACCCAAGAGCCTTCTTCACATGTCTTTTCCTGTCCTCTACTACCTCTAGAATGAACTCTTGGACCCCGTTATACCCTGAGGGTTACACACCTTCCCCTTTGTTACACAGGGGTCACCTGCTGTTACACCGTTAAACAAAAGTAGGGAGAAACTTCCAGAAAGAAAGACAATAGAAATGAAGACAAAGGGAAATATATTTAATAAAAATATAAACTATAACTATACAATTATGGCATGTAGCCACACTATATAAACCCATATCCCAAGGACAAGGTGCTCTTGTTCAGTTTTCAGTTCACCCACTGTGTGCTTTTGAATTATTTCCATTTGGCCTATATTCTTCATTGTCATTGACTCCCCTTATCCTTCACCATGCTTTCTGTGTGTACTTCTCTTCAACTGGATTTGGCCACTCTATTCCACCTTATGGATCCCAGACTCTATAGTCCTTCTTCTCAAGAAAAGTTTTGAATTTTTCATGTAGACATGTGAATGCTTCACTAATCTACATGAGAGTCACTTAACTTGTAGACTTATGTATGGAAAATTATTAAAACCAAAGTAATTGTAAAGACATCTCTCTATCTTAATAAATTGCTTTTACAATGTAAGAATGGGAACTTCTTCCCAACTCCTTTTCACTTGCACCACCCAGTCATAGCCTCTTTTAATCTCAAAATCAAAATTTTACATCTTTGCTTCAATATCTGATGGTGATGTCAAGTCATGTGACCTCACACTATATTTTGAATGGTAATTTACCATATACAGTATTATAAAACTTGTAATACTTATATTTTGAAAGCTAACAAAAAAGCAAAAAATTTGTTATACTTCACATTTATTTTTTGACACCAAATCCTGCTTTGCTTTAACAACCATTTTTGAATTATCTTGTAAAATTTAAATTTATAAAATAATTAGTCAAATATATAATTTAAATTTTTAAATCTTACTTTACATCACAATCCCAAATACATACAAGCCAATCAGCACTACATGATATAAAAATTCTTGGATGATAAGGATTCCATTGTAATTTAGATATACGCAACGAGTGATACTTATAAGTTTCTAAAAACCGTCCTGAATACAATAAAGAACATTTGTGTATTAATCCATCTTCTGTACCTACTACAAATAATGCCTTGTCATATTTATTGAATGAAAGAGCAGTCCCACAACCTGAAAATAAAATTTGTTATTCATTATTGCTTAATAATTAATAAAAGTTGTTTTGATAACCAATTAAATAGAATAAAATCTTCAATTGTTAATATGCAAATCTGCAAGAATGACTTTATTATTGGAAATATTAAAAATGCTGTAAAAACATTTAAGCTTAAATTTTTTAAAAATATGAAAATGGTTTAAGAGAGCTCTATAGATCTTTTTAAGAATAAAATTTAAATATTAGAATGATAAAATAGATAAAAATTTTCTAATAGCAAAACTACTTATAACTTACTGATTCCTACAGCTAAGTTATAAACAATTCATGTACTGTACATTGAAGAATCTGAATAATGGCCATTGATAGGAACAAAAAAATGAATGATTGAAGGTGGCTGTTGCTTAGAGGTGGAGGATGTATTTTTGGGAGACAGCCTTTATTGATATATATACTGTATTTACTCACATATAAGATGAAGTTTATATTCATTTTTCACTGCTTCAAAAGCCTAGGTCATCCTATACATGCAAGTGAAGGATTCTTTGCATTTTTGCAATAATTTTTGTAAACTGTGTATTTGCATTTTTTACCGGATTCTCACCTTCTGGTGTTTAAAAACAAAAGTATTTTATCTGGGTCATTTGAATTGTTCTTGTGTATTGTCAGGAGTGAAGATGAATAGCAATAGGAAAAGCAAAACTTTTGTATTGAATTCCAAAATTATATGGGAGCCCAATATACGTTTTAATTCATTCCCACATGAAAATAGATGATTATTTGGAAATCAGAATTCAGAGAAACTCATGAGTGTAATCGATGGAGAGTGGATTCAACTGTTAAGAAATGGCTACAAAGGTTCGACTGTCCAGCATTATGTGAACAAATTATGTTGTTGATTTTACAAGATTTTTCCTTGAAGTTTAAAATGCCAGTAATTTTTGCATGACAATGTGTGTATTTACATGCATTTGATAATTTATTTGTGATTAAATGAAATAAAATTAGAATTGTATTAATAAATCTAATTTTCTTTATTATCTTTTTGAACATTTTTGGCCATTTTTAATGACCTTCTTCAAGAACAAAAATTGAATGATTCCAATTTGTATACAACGAAATTTGTTTCGGAACGTTTTTAAATATAAACTTTCTAGTGTGCAATCTCATCTTGTAGATATAAAATTACAATATATATGCGATAATAACATGTACAAACATACAAATAAAGTTTTCTTTCTATAATAATAAAACTAATTTTCTTTATTTTGATCTTTAAAGTCATATCTCATCCTATATGCAAGATTCTCTTATATGCGAGTAAATACGGTATATATATAATTGTTAACATAAAATTTATTTAATTGGATTATATAAAAAGTAAATAAAAGTAAAATAATTTTAAAGGTAAAAAAATTATCACACTCCAATATAAAATGCAATAAATAATGCAAAACAATTTTAGATTGGAAATCTATAAAACCATAAAATAGCAAATTAGCAGTTGATACTAACACAGATCTAGATTAAACTGCATTAGAGATAATATAATCTATTGATAGCGTAATTAAATTAAACTAAAATTCTCTTCTGATATATGAATTTTCCTAGATAGAGAGGTAGAACAAATATTCATTTAGCTTATTTATGAAATACAAAAAAGAAAAATGAAAATTTAAAAAAAAATTGTAAAACAATAAAGAACACTAAATAAGTAAAGGAGTCAATTTAAACAAGATAAAATGTTTTTTGAGACTTGCACAGCTCATCCTTAGATCTTACTTCACAGTTTTTAAATCAAACTGTTTAATTTAAAAACTGTTGAGTGAGATCTTATGCAAGTATCAAAAAATATTTCATCTTGTTTAAATTGATAACGTCTTCACTTATTTACTTTTCTTTATTGTGAAATTAAGGCTATACAAATCATCAAACTAGCTTGCAAGTTTTTAGTACAAACAGACTACTTACATCAACATAACCAAATAGCAAATGTAATTAATATATCAAAAGCTAGCTTACAAACACAAACTACAACATATCCATGAACCATGCTACAAATACACACTTCAAACAGTCATAGACAACAACACACAAAGTATACTGTGAAGCTATAATCACAGACAAAACAATCTAACACAACAGACCAAATATCACATTCACTGGCAAACAAAACAAAGTAGACATAGCTGTTCCAAACATACATAATGTACAAAACAAATACAGTAAAAAAGTTTAGTAAATAATATAAAAATATGTGTCCAGAATTTGTCTATGAAATAAAACATGTATGGAGAATGGATAAGATACTTATTGTGCCAATAATTCTTTCTTGCAAAGATATCATATCATATACACTATGTAAAAGTTTAGAAACATTATAACTTCACATCATATTTATCACATTGCAAAAAACTGTCATACTAAATTTAGATATATAATTAAAAAATTCTTAAATACAGACATACACGAATATCACATAACTACAGTAAGTTTTTCTGTAGTTGTGCATTGGCATTTTGTTTGGCATAAGACTGGGTATCAGTATTAACAAAAAAGGATTCATTTCACCAAAATAATAATAATAGTAATAAAATTTTAATATATTTTTTATGAACATCAATTTTATATTAACAATGTCTTTTTTATTTACATATCATAATATTGTAAGTTTGCTATATACCCATCATTGAAAAAAATTTTCAGTTAAAGTTTACAGATACTAAAATCAGAAATTCAAATCTCTAATGAAAAATAAATAAAAATCAAAAACAGATACATCCACACTACTACTAATTATTCTTTACATGTTAAAGTTTTCTCATTATTATAAATATAAAACCATTTTGTATAAAAATGAAATATAATATTATAATAATTTTAAAATAAAAACTATTTCAATTAAAAACATATATTCTCTTTTTAGTTTTAAAGTTTTAGTTTTTCTTACTAAATCTTTAATGAAGATACTTTTATTTAAATTTTAAATATATTTATTTTCAGAATTAGTTTTGAAAAATAAAAATACACTTAACAAATACTGTAAAATCTCCTAACTTCTATAATAAATATTTCTTAACTTATCAGGAATTTCATTTGTATATAAGTAGAGCAATATCTTAAAGCTAAAACTTTTGTAAAAAAAAGATAAAAGTTGAATATTACTAATTGTTTTTAATTGAATTCCTTCTGGTCCTTCTAAATGACAATCTTCTTTCTTCAAAACAACAATTTCTGAACATTTTAATTCATTCTACACATTAATAAAATAAAATTTAATAAAAATATTAATTGAAATAAAATAATTTTCTTATATATATATTTATTATATAACACACATTAAAAGAATATATGTAAAACCAGATAACAATTTTGACAACTGCTACTTAACAACTGGTTATTATTAGATAGAAATGAACACTACAAACATTTAAGATACCAGTGAGAAAAATGAACACGAAGTTTGAACGTTTTCACCTGTGTTAAACAGACATTGCCAGGCAGTATGATGTCCATTTAACAGGGACAAAAACATTCACACTTTGTGATCATTTTTCTCGCTAGTATCTTAAGTGTTTGTAGTGTTCATTTTATCAGATAACAATTTTTTTTAGTTTTCTTCTTTGTGATCTTGTATTCTAATTTTATAAATAAGATAATTTACTTATTGAAAATTATTACTGTACTGGTCCAATATAATATGAAGATAGATGCGAAATGAGAGTTACAAAGATATATTAATAAATAATAATACCTTTATTTTGTGTAAAGTATGACAGTTCTTTGGAATACCAGCTCATCTCAGTCCCAGTATACAAGTCTATAATATATGACATACAAAAGTTGAGAGAATGAGTAGTTATTAACACTACTCTTGCAACACCAATAATTACTGAATATTTCTACAACAAATATAACCCAAACTATAACTAAACATAAAGGCATTCTTTCCCCGCGCGCACGTGACACATCATTCAAGGAAGAAGGCAATGGCAAAACCACTTCCTCAACTCTTGCCAAGAAAACTACATGAACAAAGAAAAGACTTGTCCATGCAGTCACCAGGAGTCAACGACGACTTGATGGAACTTAACATAACTAAACACTTACAACTAACTAAATCTAAGGAAGAGGGAAATCAGTAGTTGAAAAAGGGCAATAGAAGTAAGGATAGGTGAAAGCTGAATTTTAGCATGCTTAACTCTACATGTTTGACGGATGTACTGATATGATCAACTTCTACATGTATGTAGGAGTTGATTCTATGGGACAGAGGAAGGCATATTCCCCAATTTTTTGTACCAGAAAATTGTCCCTCTCTCAATGTATTTTTATTTTATACCATACAACAAAAATTACAAAGAAGAAACAAGTACTGTACACAACAAATATATCTTACACTGTATATCCAATCAAAACCTCAACAATGAGAAATTTTTCTTATTCATTGTCATTGGCCAATCCCTCCAATTTTTATACAGATTCAAGTATTTAAAGAAAATTTATACAGATGACCACAGATAACTATTGAAATCAAAGGAAACTTTAATCAGACTCAAATATATGTTGAGAGCAATTGTTTGTTCCTCTAAAAGTGAGAAAAATCATTGACCAATATTTAAACCAATAAAGTATAATTATACTTTTAATTTTATAAATGACCTAATATGTCGGGAATGAAATTCATGTAATTTCTATCATCATATTTTATTGATAATTAAAATTTGCAATTACCTTACTTTAAAATGATGTTATTTATAGTTAAGCATTAAAAATAAAGTATATTGAAATATTGCTAATTAGAATAAAATAGAATAAAATGAATGAATATAGTACTGCTGTTCTTTCCTACTATTGATAATGCATTAATAATTTTAAAGCAAGATAGAAATATTGGGTTGTTTGAAAAGTAATTTTGTTTTTTTACCACTAGATGGATTAGTCATATTTTTCCCGCCATTTTCATTCTAAACCATATTATCATTATATATTTTGACAGCTAGCATTTCAAGGCTTATTTGTAAAAAATTTTGTGTGATTTTATGCAATTGTTTATTTTTTACGTCCCATCAAATATGGAAGATCGAAAGCAGCATTTTTGGCATATTTTGCTCTTTTATTACTGAAAAGGTAAGAATGCTGTTCAAGCGAGAAAAAAATTGTGTGACGTGTATGGAGATGTATTGACAGAACGACAGTGCCAAAACTGGTTTACATAATTTCGTTCTGGCAATTTCAATATTGAAGATGCACCACATTCTGGATGGCCAGTTGAAGCCAATGAAAACAAAATAAAGGTACTGATTGAAGCAAACTGCCAAATAACAACACGTGGCATCACTAAGAGATTAAATTTGTCAAATTGAACTGCTTATGATTACTTGAAACAAATTACTTTTGTTTCAAAGTTTGATATATGGATTCCACATGTTCTTAAAGAGAGATGCTCTCTTTGGTGGGATTTTCAGGAAAATTTTTTTTGGAGCTTTTACTAGACAATTTAACAATTGATTCAAAAGTGTACTGCCATCAAGTAAACAAATTGAGTAATATCATCAAACAGAAAAGGCGGCCAGAACTGATCAACAAAATAGGTGTAGTGTTTTACCACAATAATGTCAAATTTCACACAAGTTTGGTAACTTGACAGAAACTGTTATAACTTAGATGGGATGTGCTATCACACCAACCTTATTTGCCAGATTGAGCACACTCAGATTATTACTTGTTCCGGTCTATACAAATTATTTTTAACTGTAAGATATTTATATTAAATGACAATGTCAAAAATCACTTGGTTCAGTTTTTTTGTAAGCAATGATCAAAACTTTTATGAATGCTAAATCATGCTACTACCAGAAATTATGACAACAGGTATTTGACCAAAATGGTCGATATAATTCAATAAAATATTTATTTTTTATAAAAATATTGTTTTTTTTCCACAGGGGAAAAAACAAAATTACTTTCCGAACAACCCAATAGAATATTAACTGTAAATCAATAGTTTGAAATTCAAAAGAAATATTCAATTTAATTTTTTAATTTAAAATCATTAATATTATAATTATTTTATCAATACTTAGAACTATAAAATCAAATATAAATTACCTTTACAATAATCCAGTTGATCACTCTTCCATCTCCACTTAGAGATACAAAATTTAAATTATCATCAAAATCATTACTTAACCATTTTATCTGAAAATAAATATATAATTAAAATTAACTGATTATAAACGTACATTTATAAATAAACCAATAAAATGAAAACTGCATATATTTCAAATGTATTATAGGTATTTAAGAAAATTATTTCTTAAATATTTTATTACCTAAAATATTTAATGATTCTGTTAGTTTTTTAACAGAGTGAAACTAATAAAAATAAAAAAACAATAAATACAAAGTTTTATTAGTATGCTATTGATTTCTAATTGAATGGTCAAACCAAAAAAAGTAATAAATTTCTTTGATTTACTAATGATTTATGTTTTCATGCATTTATATGTATAAATTAAAGTGATAAAACACTGAAATTGTAAGTGTTTTTTTCCAAGTTTTTAATAAAATTATTTCTCTCAAAGTAAATTATTGTCTTGGTTTTATTATTATGTTGGGTTTTGTGAGTTANATTTCTCCCCATAGACCTTACTGGCATGGGTGTCCCTACCAGGAGCTTGTGCTCCAGCCTGCATTGCCCTATGGATCTGTAAAACTACTGGGCTCTCCCACCACGACCAGGTGGTGACCATGGGAGAGTTATTATTATTATTATTATTATTATTATTATTATTATTATTATATCATCATCAGAGGCAATTTTTGCATGCTGTGTTAAAATTAAATAAAAGTGGTCCGTACTCTTGGATGTGACAACACTAATGTCTACTCACTACACACAGTAAAAGACAAAAGAACAGGTTTTTATTGTTAATCCTTTAGAACAAAAGACTACAGATCAGCGAACCTTGGCAGTGGGTTAGGAAAGTATCCCAATTTCAACATGCTGATATAAAGGAAAACCTCCAAGTAAAAGTTGACTCCATTATGTTACTTTGTTGTTTTTAAGGCATGAGAACAAAACTGTAAAGACACCAGAATGGTTTAGTACTTTCCCTACTTTTTAATTCAAATTATTATTCTCAAAATGCTATTGATGTTTTAAATGAATAGTTTTCTTTACTGAAATTATAACAGTTAACCTTATTTGCAGGTTAGACAACTGACATCAACCCTGCAAACACTACCTAAGACATGGGGGTTATAATTACCCTGCAAAAATAAAAGTCAAATGCAAAATTATCAAAATTCCAAATAATAATTTCATATTTTAACAGTAATTTGTTCTGTTTATACTTGGATAAAATAAATTTAAATTAAGTGTATATTATTTTTTATATTATTGTAATACTATGGGTACATTCATAAAGTCGAACAAGTTAAACAACAATGACATCATCATTATTCTTATTTTATTAGGCTTTTTAACTAATTCGTTTATACAAAATGATTGTTTCTAAAATCAAAGGTACAAATGTTGCTAGTGCAACCTTATCCAAAATATTTTTCTTAGATTACTTCAGGTGAACAGTTATTTCTATCATTTCACCTTTTAAATCCACAATTTAAACACTCAAATAGATTTAGAAACATCGATATCACTGGGCCCCATTTTCTTAATGAAGTAAACTAACTCTTTCCTTCATGAGCTTTGTTAGAGTTTCGTTCAAAACGTCATCACCACAGAGCATGTGCACTGAGTGAGACTACTACTTTTTGATTAATTCGTTACTAACATGTTTAACTCATTTGACTTTATGAATATACCCGATGTCAACAAGGTATCAAATTACAATTACCAAATTTTAAACTATAATAGATCTATTCAGTTTGATCCCACCCATGTACTATTAACTGTTTTTGTTATTAGAAAATGTCATCCTTTAACATTGACAAACAGAATTTTTTGTCACCTATCTATTTCTTGAAAATTTGTTCAGTATCATCTCAAATGTACATAATAAAAACAAAACTTGTCTGTATAAGTTTATATCTTTTTAACTTGCTTATTTCTCAATAAAATTTTTATTTTAAAGTTATTTTCTTTTATTTCTTGAAGTATTCTCTATATTAAATATATAACTTCTATTCAACAACATATTCTTAATTTTTGATAAATTTTTTTTGAATAAGTCATTATAAAAATACATAACTGACAAGACTATGTCTTGTTTATAAAATCATACTGCCTCATGTTCTTATCAGCATAGAGGTATGAAGGAGTACATGTAGAGAGTTGATATTTGGAACAGAGTATTAGGTGCCCAAATCATTTGCACATAAAAAATCCAGACTCGTAGGTAGTCAGGGGACCGAGATTCGAGTCAAAATAAAATCCAAAATGGCGACTCTCTTCTACAAACAGGCAAAACAACCACTTCACCCCATCAAAGTCAGGTAGGGGAGTCAGGTACCACCCGCAGTCATTCTAAGAAGTGAACTCTGACCTTAGGACTGAGGGCGCCTGTGCGTAACCTTTGCCCTTTGACCTCACTTTGCTCCTAAACTCTAATGAGGAGAGACATCTTTTTACTACCTTTCGATTCAACAGCCATGCCGATCTTGGATTTATATTATATATCGACGCTGTTGTAAATATCACTCTGCTGATACAAATTAAGTAAATTATCAGTTTTTTAGTAAATTTTTAACAACAGAACAAAAGACACAGAACACGTGGTCAAGGTCAACGTGGACATCAGGGACAAGGTAAAAGAGACATTTTTCCACTTCACGTTAATTGACCTTCCAAGTCTATAGTTGCGGTGCAATCTTGGATTTATATTATATATCGACACTATTGTAAATATCGCGCTGCTGATACAAATTAAGTAAATTATCAGTTTCTTAGTAAATTTTTACTGACAGAACATTCACCAAAAATGACTCATGGACGACTGTGGTCAAGGCAGGCGAAGTTTTAACGATCACGCCCAAAAGCAGCGATATCAGAGAAGATAGGAGAATGAGAACAAGGCCTGCCTTGAGCATCAAAGTGATTCCGTCTCCAAGACATAGTCTTGTCTCAAATACGGTTTTGTCGTTTTACTTGTTTAGAAATTAAATGTCTTAATTGAAAATAAAAGAAAGAAATACCAAATTTAGTATACATTACATTTAATTCAATTCCATTTAATTCATGTAAAACAAAATAGTTCCTACATTAACCATAAAATTTTGGCAATAGATGATGTTATATTTATTCCTAAATAAATTGGCCAATTGAGTAAGAATATAGTTTTTAAAACATAATTCATGAATAAGCATCTTGTTTTAAATATAAAGTAATATTTCATTCAACTGTTTTATATTTACAATAATTTTTTTCTAAGAAATATAATTTTACATTTTTTTGTCACATTGCAAATCCTTGCACTAGCATGTGTGGAGAACATAATGGTATCTTATGAGCCACTTGTAATTTTATTATATTGTTTTCAGAACTGATTTTTAAATACATGTTTGCAGTTTTGGATTTATTCTTTGATAAAAACATAGTGGAGACAGAAAATTATCAGATGGTATTGTTTGTTCATCAAAAGATAGCCTCCTATGAAAGAAGTGGCTCAACTGTTTTTTATATTAGTTCCAATTGGCCCATGTCATTCCTTGTGGCCAATAGAGTTGGCCAGTATAGTTTGTTTTGCCAGGCTTTTATCATCTCAGTCACTAGACTTCTTACATGAATGTACAAAAATTTTCTTACTCAGCAACTGGTAGTACTATGGACCAGCTATAAATAATTTTTATGTAATTTATGCTATATTAGCAGGTTCAAGCTGGAAAACAGTCCTGAGTACACATAAGAAATGAACTCAAAACCTCTTTGCCTGGGCAACAGCCATTCTTTTAATTCTTTATTCTTTATAACTCTTCTTTTTCTTTCATTTATTCCCTGCCTTTTAGGTTAAGTGATTAGTTTTAGTATTTTTTATGTTATTTATGTTTTAGTATCTTTTATTGTATGTTATGTTTAAGATTTTTGATTAAAAAAAATTAAAAATAAATGCATGAAATTTTGTTAAAAGACAAATTAAAGTATTTGTTTCGATTATCCAGACTTTTCCTTATCTGGACTACCTTCATCCCCAATTAGTCCGGATAATCGAGGTTCTACTGTATATACAGATATTTAATACTAGACAACAAAGTTAACCAAACAAACAAACAAATACAAAAAAATTTTAACAGATTAAAAAGTCTTAAAATGAAGTTTCAGATGCAAATTTAAATAGAATTTTTTTTTTAATATGTTAAAATATACATCTAAAGATGAAGCATTTTGCCTTCAAAAATATTTATTTGAAATAAATAAGACTTCTTAATCTGTTAAACAAGCGCAATACAATAATTTATCTTTTCGAGGTTTATGTTTCAGTATAAAAGGATATTTGTATGTTATTCAGTTTAAAAAAGATTTATTTTTAAACTGAATAACATAAAGATTTTATTTGTTTTGATATAAAATTAAATAATTATTACCTAATTTAATTATTAAATAATAATATGAAATCTGTAAATAACCATAGTTTGAAACAATTTTTTAAAAATTACAAGTTAACATGATTTGCTTTTAATTATGACAAGTGTTTGTTAATAAAGAATGATAATGATTTTGAAATATTGTACAAGGAATATTTAAAAATTACATATACAAGCCATATTGGAGGAGGAAGATACCTCATTATTGTGAAGTGATAACACTGCTATGTGATGTGTGGTTTTCCTTCAGATCATTTTGCCATTCAGTTAGATTTATCTCTAATCTCTATAGGCATTTCAGCTATTTTAAATATATGTTTTTGCCTGTGACATCATCACATTACTTTGAGCCAGGTTTCTACTTTCCTATGCTCTCTAGATTGATCATTTCTAGATGATAGAAAATTATCTATCAGTCAAATATTCATTATTTATGTTAAATTTTTCATAATATTGTTTCCTTATTATTAAAAAAAATATTCTTTTTGAGAGTATTAAACACAAGATTGTGTTATTAATCAAACACATGGCTTCTTTTCCATCTTTATTTAATTGATACAGTACTTCTACACATTTCAGGCTTTTGGCCTCCTCCTCAGCCAAAAGCCCAAAACATGTAGAAGTACTGTATCAATTAAATAAAGATGGAAAAGAAG